AGCAGCAGCAGCAGCAGTAGTTGTTGCTGTTGTTCTGGTAGTGGTAGTGGTACTGGTAGTACTAGCATTTGAGGGTTCAGGGCTTGGGCCTGGGAGTTTAAGGCGGAAAAAAAATAGAGTTTCAGGATTCAAGGCTTCGATTCAGATTTCGGCTACATTTAGAGTCGATGTCGATCAATTCCTCAAACTGAGGCAGGTTCCTTTTCCTTCCTTCCTTGCTTTCTACCTTCCTTCCTTTCTTTCTTTCTTCCGATCTTTCTTCCTTGCTTCCTTCCTTCCTTCCTTGCTTCCGTCCTTCCTTGTTTCGTTTCTTTTTGGTGCTTTAATTTTTTTTGATCCTTATTAATTAATATTTTGATCCCTATCTCTCAATTGAAGTGGTGTTCAGTTCAGCAATCTGCCCACACAGCTAGACCCTGCATCATGTATCCTTATGTCCCACACATAGTCCCTGAATTCCTGCATCAAACATCTGTACTTTCGTAGGATTTGCTTGTTTGTGCAGGCCGAACCCATCTCTTCATCCGTTGAAGGACAAGCTGATGATTGAACCGAAGGCCCGACGGTGGAAGCCTGAAGCTGACAAGCAAAACAATAAGTGCTCATACTGAGTGTGTGGGCAGTAAAGGACTCCGCGGCCGTGCCGCAGGTTCGCCTGCCACTGGCCCTCGTAGACGCGGCCTTTCGTCGAGCTTCGGCTTTGGAAAGGCTGGTGTCGGAAGCGACACGAACGAAATGGATGATTGATGAGAGAGCAGGGATTAGCAACATGCGCACGAGCATCTAAACGACGAATGCAAGTTTTCATGTCTAACATGTGCTGCAGCCGCACAGGCGGTTCCAACATGTTCAACGACCAGCTTCGCTGCTGTGTCGGATACAGGACAAGGGCAAAGCATCCGACTAGGTGGCACCATGAACTATATCGAGCAATCGGCTAGTGACTAGCGCGTACGAGTGCGGGCTCGTGGCCGCCAGTTTACCAGGCTGCGAAGCTGCAATCCTACCCGTTGTACTCGCCCAACCTGGGTAACCTCTCAGTGAATCTGAAGATTCCAGAGAGTGGTGATATCTGAGCTTACCAGCACGACATGCGAAAAGAAGTCACTCCCCGCAGCATCTGAAAGGTTCCAGGTCTGCTGGCCATCAGGCCAGGTGTAAACCCCCGCGCCGTGCTTCTCGTCCCTCCTTAGTTTCATCTTCACTTCTTGCTCTTCTGGGGCTACACATTCCACTCGGGATGAAAACGACGCTTGAGAGACAAGAGTTTGGGCATGCTTGGAGTGTAGGCTTGCTTCGGCTAGGCGGCTGGAATAAAGGAGCACATGCGGCAGAGAAGCCCTGCTATGCTCATTCACCGGCCATGTGATACCTTACAGACTGCCGAAGCATTCTGATCCTGCCGCTGCTCCTTCCAACATGACGCCACTGCCAATTCATGGCCCTGGTTGCGGCTACATGCCACGATCGGAACTAAGACACAAACTGAGCAAAGTTCAGAAGCGTGACGAGTCTTTGGAGTCTTTGGGCTGGTCGGGGCTTGCATCTCCTCGACGCGATTCCCGGTCAATCCATTTGCAAGCTACCGCGCAGCCCTTGCAACCTCAATTTGTGATGCTGTTGCTCAACGAGTAGGGCCTTTCTGGGCTCAACACCCGTCCCCTATACCCGAGCTGTCGTCAGGAAGCAAGTATCCATCGTTTGGTCATTGATGACGCTCTCGCGCTCAACTGCTCTGGGGCCCCAACATGTATTGGCCCTCGTAGGCGGCACCTTGGAGCCAATGTGGGAGGAATCCCATAAAGACCTGAACCCAGACCCAGAACCGATCCGTTGGTGGGGGTCAGTTAAAAATTGGGCGAAGGCGGGGAAGACAATGCAACGGGACATGCATAGAGACGCTTGTATGCATGTCTGTATGCATGCATTCATCTACTTGTGTATGCATACATGCTTGTACCTGATAGCTGGCTTTACTTGTTTATCTGTTTACCGCGGTCGTCTACTGCTTGCTTGTTTGCTTGCTGTATATACGGTGTGGATAGTTTTGTA